GAAAGAAATCTCACTTTTTAAAATCATTAACTCCAGGTTTTTTCAATGAGATTATCCTTGAGAAGCCTGTAGGCTAAATAATCAGCTAAATATTAAGCGACAAATATAATGGTCGTAGTTATAATAATTCATTTAACTATTATGATAACAGGATATCATGGTCATTGGTATATTTTATTTCTCTAGATCTGTTTTGAATTATGTTGGCCAATGAGACAGACACCATATTGTCCAACTCAAAGGTATTTATTTATTTGTATGTATTTTTTATTGATAAATACTGAAATTCCTTTTACTTATGTAGTCACATTGAGATGTGCCTTAATTAGCTCAAATTATGCATAGGGAATTTTAATAATTAATCATGAATATGATTAATATATTGCATATTACAGTTAAATTATCGAAATGGAAAATAGATCGATTGTATATATGAATGATCAATCATAACGAATTATAATTCCTCATTCATATATCAATGGTCTCATTACAGATCGATTATATGAGATAACTTAAAGGGAATCAATTGGCTATCAAACAATCGGTTTGTCCAGCAAACGGCTGTAAGATTAACCCATCAATTAATTCAACAACGTTATCCCTTTTTATAAACTCCAAGAAATCTCAATGTTCCGGCCGTGAACATTAATTTTCTCGTGTTTATAAAATTTACGTTACTGATATAGTAACAACTTGTAAAGCTTTGTAGCTATAGGATCGCATTTCATTGACTTGTAAAATATGAGCATTCAAAACAATCAAGAATATAATGGTTTTAATAAAATGAAACTACGGATACAGAATTCTACCTTTAAACACGGGATACATGTATGTACAGTAAACAGTAAAACAAATGAGACAGACGAATAACAAACAGGAGTGAGAGAGAGAGATTGCGAGAGCGCAAGATTGGGAGAGAGAGAGAGAGAGAGAGAGAGAGAGAGAGGAGAGAGAGAGAGAGAGAGAGAGAGAGAGAGAGAGAGAGAGAGAGAGAGAGAGAGAGAGAGAGAGAGAGAGAGAGAGAGAGAGAGAGAGAGAGAGAGAGTGAGAAGATGAGAGATCTTCTGGTTTGGCAAAATTCATCATAGACACAGAACCTTTTTAGACACCAAGAATCAACAGATCTTAAACCTCGAAAGAATGGTAAACGGTTACTTGCACAGGTAAAGCTCTTTGTGGTTGATGTGAATAAGGGTGCGTGTCTCTGTCCTCGCGTCATGCGTTCACGTGGTTATTTCAGAGCGGGCAAAGCGCGTTAGTTTGAATGAAGACTTAAAGGTCTTTGGTTCTCCTGGTGTTGCTGAGGAAAACCGCGTCTTGCGTGCGTGTCCTTAGGAGCGGGTGCGTGCTTTCTCAGCTCTTCTGGGCGAGCGTGGTCGCTGCAGATTCGAAGAGTCTCCTTCAGGTTGAAGTTGCCGATTACGTTCATTTCACTGAAACTAAACGTAAGAAAAGTCCGAAGACGAAAATAAAGAAAGATTAAAGAAAACGGAGAAAGCTCCCCGAAGGAGCCATGGATCCTCTCACAGGAAAAGCTCTCATGTGGCGTAGAAACTGCATCGAACAGATTGTGGCGTTCGAGTTTTGAAGGAGCTAGAGGCACGCCTTTGTTGCGTGTCCTATCCAATCGTTTGGGAGGGGGCGTGTTGTCAAACTTCTGTGTTTGCGAAAACACACGCCCTCCGGGTCATGTGCATGGAAGATAACATTTAGTAAAAATACACTTCTAAACTGGTATTGATAAAAGTATGCCTCATGTTGCACTTTGGGTCAGTGATTCGATCTTATTCGATTCCTCTGATTCCAATCATACCAAGCGCGACATTCCTAGGGCTAGTAAAATGCAGATACATGATTTTCGTGATTAAACGAATGTCAAACTGATTACATACCATAAAAGCTTATAGTTACATCAATTTGGTCACATGGGGATTGGAAAACACAACAAGAGAAACACTTCATACGTTTAAAGAGGTAGGCATTTAAAAGTTCATGAATGAGTGTTTCTGCGTGTGTGTGTGTAGCAGAGTTCAGTTAGAGTTTGCCGGGGTGGTGGACTCTCGCTCACTCCCCCTCTGGGGAGTTTCGTGTGTGTGCGTACTCCTCTGAGTTGATGAGTTTAATAATTTGAGTGGTGGTGATCACGTTATTACACTTGTGCTCTGTGTGTGAGGTGATTAAAACAGAGGAGACCCTAAGGGGTCGAGTGGTCTTCGGCCGGACTCACGAGATGTCATCTCGAGTCACATGTTCAGAGCTGGCTCAACTCGTAAGCAAAGCACTTCGTTGTTCATTCATCAGAGAAGACGCTGCATGTGCGAATGGAGTCAATGATTTAATCAATTCAAAACACTGTCCCCTTTGTTTCACGAATGGAAGAGACTTTAGTAAATTAGAATCTAGTTAATTTACTCCACATACCAGAGCTGGCTCGATTACCTATCTGATTATCACTACACTTATAAATGCTGAATGTGGTTCAGGGGGTCGACAACTTTAGGCTCGCAAGTTATTTTTCACAGATATCTGACCAGCTTACTCATGTCTCATACTCTTAGCCTTTAAAATGTTTGAATTTATATCCCCAATGCAATATCAGGGGGTAAAGATATCATTAGAGTTCTTAAAGTTATGGCTATGCTCTTGTCACCAGATGAGATATAATCCCTAGCGTTTGGCCCTGTGATTCTTCAGGACAAGCTCTTGATGCCATCCACACTCAGATGAAGAAGGTGAGTTTCACAGTAGCTGCCACTATCACAAACCAAGAGACAGAACACAACATGCTTTCATCCATATGAACTCACCCATATGTAGGGATGGGTATCGAAACCCAGTATTAAACCGGCCCTGGGGCCAAATTAAGGAAGACCGCAGTATCGATAAGCTTGGACGTTATTGGTTCTTCATACAACGTGTTTTTCAGGCTGGTTGTTTGTAATTTTGTAAGAGTAGGGAGAGGCTGTACCTCTCATGTGTGTGTACTGTGTACTATAACTTTTCAACAGGAGCTGGTACTCCTTTGACTTAATTGAAAAGTTTTAGATAGAGCTGTTTTTTTCACTCTCTATTCTCATTATGTTCATTTACATGCCAATAGCTCATGATGAAAATTTTGTAGCATTTATATACTACTAATAATAATGTTAATATTAAGCAAAGTTATTTACAAGATCTTTTAAAAATGTATAATTAAATGTCTTTATTATAACCTGCAATACAAAAATAGTACAGTTCAAAATCTATTATATGAAAATAGTTCCGTTGTGTTGACGGAAGGTGGCCTATTTTCAGGCGCTGCGTCATATCATTACGCCTGCTGCACTCATGGTACGGCAGTGAAGTTTCTTGATTATTACGCAGGAATGAGAGTATAGTTCCTAGCCATATCAGCCTAGAAAATCGCAACTTTACATTTTCCGTCGGTCTTAGTTCACGATGTAACTACAGAAGAGTCAAGTTTTAAATAGGAAAAATATCGAAACTCTTTGGTCATTTTTTTTTTAGAAATGCTAATGGTCTTGTCCACTCCAATGATGTATGCTAAGCTATGCTAAAAGTGGTACCGCCAGAACCGGAGATCGGCTGAATGGATTCAAAAACGGTAAAACTGAACAGTTTAACTCTGGGGGAGTTGTAAAATGAGCCTATTTCCAAAAAAAGTGGAGTATCCCTTTAAAGCAAATATTCTAGGCTACGTGATACTATTTTCAAAAGTCTTGTGAAGAAATAATCAGTATGGGTATCATGACCTTATTTCAGTTTTTTTCACAAACCACGCATAAATGTCAATATCTCAAAACTACAAACTTTTACATACATGCTGCTGACATATTATTGTAGCAGAGTTTGTGCTAAATACAGTGTAATCAGACTTTAGCCATGAAAATGTCACAAGTAACACAAATAAGCACAGATGTCAGCATATGTCAGAACACCTCCAGGGCCCAGAAAAGCAGAGTTTGAAAAGCAAAACACGCCAAACATAACGTCATAACATTTGAAAACATTTGAAGTAACATGATAATCCATATATTTTTCTCTAGTGTATTGTACTGAAGGGTTCCTTTCCAATGATTTAAAGTTATAGGCCGTCTGCATTTCTTTCCCAAAAAAAATGTTTTCTGTAATGTAAAAATTGTTATTATTGTTATTATTATTTTATGCACCCTACAAGTATATGCCTACAAGATACAACAAACCTGGTGTTCTTTATATATATTTTTGTGAATGTTAAATCTAAATATTAACCAGAAAAATCACAATTAGATTTTCTTCCCCTAGTCGTGCAGCCCTATTGTTTTCCCTGATATCAGCATGTTCACAGTTGTTGTTTTACAGGGACCAGATTCCAGATGCCACTGATGAGTCCTGCTGACTTGAACATGGTAAAATGAAAAAGCAAACAACTTGGAAATGACAGGTATTTTGAACAGGAACTGTTTCAGGAACGGCACAAAGGTGTGTGACTGTTTGAGTCTCTCTGTTTAGATTATTGTGCTCAATAATGTGCCTTTTTGTCCTTCGTTGTGTATCTTTGGATTATGTTGTGTTAAATAATACATCCAAATGATCAAAAAGCCATTCTATAATCTCTCCTCACATTCTTTGTGCAAATGCCCTCACAGTCCCACCTGATAGGGCCATTAGGGGTCCCATTAGGGTCTTTGTCTTCCCAGGTGTGAAACACATCGATATTCATGATGATTAACGCCTCCTTGCATACAGCTTTCTTACACAAAACATGTCTTACAAATTTTAAAGCAATATATTGTTTTATGTGAATGAGTGGGCAGGATGATTTTCACATAGTTTTGAAGCAAAAATTCTAGGCTACATGATACAATTTTCAAAAGTCTTGTGAACAAATAGTCAGTATGGGTAGCCTGGATGCCAGCCCAAAGGGCCTATTATCTTGTAATTTTTACAAGAAAGATTTTACATTCTCTACTAAACCCAAGGGACTGGAGGCCTCAGTAAGTGGCCAACGGCATTCGACCTTATCTTCTTCCTAGCGTATGTCCCGCTTGTCGGCAAGCCTTTCTCCACTTTCTCCGGTCCAAGGCATCCTCGGGGGCGACATCGATGTATTTCATGTCTTCCTTGATTCGGTCCATCCACCTCTTTTTCGGTCTTCCACGTCTTTCGCTTTTCCCCTCAGGGCTGAGCCGCAGTGCTCTTCTCGCCACTGACTCTTCCTCACTGCGGATCACATGGCCATACCATCGGAGGCGGGCTTCTCGCATCTTCTCCGTGATTGGTGCTACTCCCATGATCTTCCTGATATTCATAACGTGGTCCAGTCGGGTCAGTCCCAATGTCCATCTGAGCATACGCATCTCCATCGTGTGGAGGGCCTGTTCGTGTTTGGTGGTTGCAGGCCAGCATTCTGCTCCATAGAGGGCGACTGGGCGAAGTACCGTCTTGTAAACCTTTGCCTTGAGGTGGCTGGGCATGCGTCGATCACAGAGGACACCAGTGACCTGGCGCCACTTCATCCAGGCAGTGTTGACTCCTGCTCTGGTGTCTGGAAGGCTATCACCATTAGCCGAGAGGGTGGAGCCGAGGTACTTGAACTGCTCCACTTTCTTCAGCTCCTTCCCATTGATGGTGATTGTGCCGTCGGTTTGGGCGCCACCTTCCATGTATTCCAGCATTCGACCTTATGACTTGAATTATTTTATTCAAAGGGCTCAGAGGAAATTTTTAATTTTTCAACTTAACCTCTTAACCGTCTCCAGAGCGTCGGCGCACTGAAGCGTTTTTTTATTTATTTAGTTCAAATATACTATCAGATTTAATGTTATACCTTGACAAACTATACATCATTAAAAAGATATAAGACTCAAGATTCAGTATTTGACCACTATTGTATTCTGAGAAACTTATAGTGACAGTTATGTCTTAATTTGTGTCAGGAGTTATGAAATTAAAAAATGAGTCGTTACCTTTAATATGAATTATGAGCCTCAGCCGGTCTCATTCAGAAAAAAACTCCCGTGCGATCGTCATGACAGCGCTTGACAAAACAACGTCCCTCAGGGCTTTTAGCTCAAACATGTGCAGATTTGGAGAAATATTGATAGATTCTCATAGCTTTACATTAGACTTCTATAGACAGGAATAATATTTATTGAATTTATACCCAAATGCGTCGATGTAATCATTTTGAGCGCTGTATACTCTGTACTGTGTTATCAATTCATCCTGAAAGTGAGGGCGCTGTTTGAACAGAAGTCCATAATATATGGATCACATGAAGAAGAGCCATAATCATGTGACATTCAGGAAGTCCTGCCACAACAAAGCTATCCGAGATCGCTGTAAAGTGCAGATAAAGATGTTTTGAAGACAATAAACATGATTGCAATGATATTTGATTTACCTGTGTTCTTCGAGTCATGTCAGGTATTTTCATAATAATTGATTATATGTATAATGTAATGCTAATCGAGATAGACTTTCAAATTGTGCAGAATACAATAAAATAATATATTTTCTATCTGATTTTTTTATCTGAAGCCAAATCAGATTACAGAAAGTTATTTAAAACACTCGACTTGCGCTATAAAGTAAGTTTGGAGAACAAACATAGTTTTATTCTCATAAATTGTCGTGTATTGATGGTGTGCTAAGCTAACATGCTAGCTAGTACTGAGCACCTGCTACCTTACTTCGGTGTAATTTTTATGATTTTTTTCTAAATAAGAATGCTTACTGAAATGTTTCGTTTTTCAAAAAGGGCATTTGATACAGTTTCACTGTGAAGTGAGAACTTTTATAAAATAAATGAGGGATTGAAACAGTGTGAATTGCTAGTCGTTAGTGATTATAATGCAGACAAAAGAAAAGCATATTTAGAGCAATAAACTGGCTGGAGAGGTGTGAATATGTGCAGGGGAGACTGAGACTGAATGGGGCTCGTTTTTGCATCACAAAACAATAGAGGCAATAGACTGAATAGATGCTTATAAGAAAACAATAAACACCAGTCTAATCAAAATAAAGTCATATGACATGATCTTGAAAAACATTGAACTAAATACAGAGTTTTAGACTTATCATCTTCAAATTTTAAATATAACATGGCCAGACATGTGGCTTTAGCTGCAGTGCATTTCTAGATTGCTACAATGCCAACTTCAATTTTATTTTCATGAAGATGTTTCATAAAAATAAATGTATAATAACTTTACAAAACTTTGAAGCTATTTATAACTATTTTTTTCATTATGATAATAATTAATTCTACATTTACAATAAACTTCCAGGTGTCAGCTTTCAAATGAGATCTTACTTGTGCTTTTAGTACAAAGGGTTCATGAACTGTATCTGTTTCAGTTTGGGAATGCCATATCTGGGGATTTTTCAAAAATGGGCTTGAAGCTTAACAGGTTAAGGGCTTGCTGGATATACCAGCTACTATACTCAATACTGTAAAGGGTGGAGGCCTGAGTATACTGCTTCTTACTCTCTAGAGAGAAAGACCTGACAACACTCATGAGATATCTGCATGGGAGGCATTTTGAAGATAGCCTGCTACCTATGCTGCTATCTACCCTGTCACACCACTAGCATTTTACACCTAATGCGTAGGTATTCGTCTTCCACTAGTGCTTTCAGCACTGCCTTTGGCGGTCAGGAGCGAAAGGAAATAGAACGCTGGTTACAAACGTAACTGTGGTTCTATAACTAAGTGGGAGACCGCCCAGAGTCTCTGGTTACTCGGCATCGCGAGAATGATCTAGAAATCGATCTGACGTGTTAGGAGGTGGTTATAGCTGAAGACACGTCATAAGCACTGATCTATATAGAATGACTGGATAGCTCATGACATCATAAACAGTGAAGCCACCGCGCCACCATATTGGTATTCCCTAGTGAGCTCACGCGTTCTATTGAATCAATAGGAAATTGTATGATTTGACTGAGAAAACATTGCATAACGAGACACCGTTTTGAAATCTAAAGTCTCCCTGAATAGTCTTACAACGCAAACATCATAAGCATTTAAATGGGTATTTGTTTAAAGTCAGAAATTATTCCTGCTTACTAAAAATTAAGTATATGTGAATTATGTACTTAAAATATAGCTCTTTCTGATTGTGTTTTACAGATAGATCAGTAGTCTGTATACGTATTTGATTAGTTAGCAAGAACATGTTTAGGAAATGCAAAATACAAATTGTATGGGTTAATGTACGCCTGTTTCACCTCTTATTTTCCCCTTATTTACACTGCACACGTACGTCTGCGGCGCGTTACAGCTGCGACACGGCTACCGGAACTGATCGCGCCCACAAATCGGCAAATCATGTGGAAATGCTCCTGGTGTGAGTTGACGCGTGAAGGACGGAATAAAACATTGCACACATCTGCGGTGCATTATGGCTCCGACAGTGTAAATAAGGGGTTACACATAGGCCTACTCCGTTTGCAGTGCATATTTTTTACCATACCCATGTTAACAGGTTGGAGCTTTCACTGCATGCGGATGCCCGTCAATACGTTCCAGGAGCGGTGCGTATGCAGCAGTGCAGAGATCGTTCCCGCACCGAGTCTATTTCTGCTGTGCAGGCGCTGAATTAAAGTGACAGCGCATGGTTCGTGGTCAAACTGAACACGGGTTGACATGAAAATATAGTAAATAAATGCATGTAATTAAATTAATAAGAAGTAATGCATTGAATAATATGTTTTTTAAGTTTATTGGGTTTAAACTTGAATACGTCTGTGAAAGAATGCATAGTAGCCTAGGCTACAAATTTGTTTTTTATTAAAAAAAATTGTTTTTATAGAAGACGCTGATAATAAAAATAGTGATTTGAAATAAAAATAGAGAATAAATGTTGTTTGTGGTACAGTTGTACATCAGTTGCGCACTGCAAACAGCATGTGGAAGCACAAGGGCGTGCTGCTCCTGCACCGCATACGCACCGCAGGCGTTAGTAATGGTAAATGGACTCTGCACGAAGCTCTTTTGAAGCAGTCAAATGGGGTCACTATTGGACACTTAATTGTGATTATTGCTGGTCTGGGGTTCCTTATCGGCTATTGTTGAACGTTTTATCGTTTGTTTTTTGAAGAAGCATTACTCTTGCCTCGGAGAAAACAACACGGAAATAGCGACAATTGTGCATATAAATGACTACTTATGGGCATAACCTGTGGGCAGTTTTTGTAGATCCTTTTGTGAACTTCGTTTTACACTTGTATGATGCACAGCGGGTCATCTTAAAAGTGCCGTCGGAGCTACAAATCTTTGTATAACGGCCGTTGGAGCCCTCTGCTGGTAGGGAATCGTAAGATGGCCGCTCGAACACTTCCGGTGGCTTCACTGCCTGGTGGCAGTTTAGAACGTCATGATCTATCCAGTCATTATATAGATCAGTGGTCATAAGTCATGAGGTGACAACTTTGTTATTCGAATTCTCATCAGGCGCAAGCGCGAGGGATTTTCCACCAATGCTTTCAGCACTGCCTCTGGCGGTCTTCCACTTAGTCATAGAACCACAGTTACGTTCGTAACCAGCATTTTTACCTGTGGTATCGAAAATGCTATCAAATATTGATATATTTTCAAGATATTATATCGAAGTTAGAAACTCCAGTAGGCTATCGTGACAATACAACAAAGTTGGTTCCGATCTATCTGCTTGGTCATACGCATTTTCAGAATCAGACTTGGGCTCGAAATGGTGTGATAAAACCAATTACATTATTAACTGTTTGTGTTTACAATTGCTTTGGAAATCTTGGAAGCTTATTTTGAGTCGTGTAAGGTGTTTGGCCAATCACAACGCACTAGGTCAGCTGGCCAATCAGAACACTCTGGGCTTTTCGGAAGGAGGTTCTTTGTACAAACCAGAACTCAGTCAGCATGTTTCAGACATGTTTTTTTTTTTTTTTTTTACATAAAGCATGTTAACCCATTTGTTAGCACCTAGTAAACAAAATAATGACTTTTTGAAACAGCATGTGTACTATACATTAGTGGAATGTGGCACTGTTTGAAAGCAAATCTTTGTTTTATGCTGTCTGGTTTTAGATTTTCTTTGGGCCACATGAGATGTGGAATGTTTTGTAGTCTTGAAAACAACGAGATGGCATCACAGCGGGGCATTCTGGGACAGTAAGCAAGAGAGCAGATGAGAACTGAGAACCGCTGCATGTGGCCAGGTAAACAATGTCTTCCACTGTCTCTCCCTCTATAAATTCACTTTGTCTCATACCAAATTTGCCACTTCAGTTCACTTTACTCACCCCAGTCTCACCGGGCGATTTACTACTTGTTACTTTTTCCAGGGATTCTAGACTCTTTTGATTTCAGCTTTTTGTTCATGTGATTCCTTTCATTCCTTTCAGCCCTTCTCCTCCACCAACTTCAGCCTCTGTTCTGTTTGTCATTCTCTCTGCTGTATCTCAGGCACTTTATAGCTAAGAGAAATAGCCAGTAGCCTCATCAAAGGTGTTTCATTTTATTTCTATCAGCGGGAAAGCTAGGGATCGCTGTCCTTTGATTCCCATGTGTTAGAAGTACAATTACTCCTCATCTTAGGGCAACCGACCCAGACGCTTTGAGCCTCCAGAGTGGGAGATGCTAACGTTGAGCAGGTATGTGAATGAGTCTGCATGCAGTCATTTTTTACTACTCTTT